GGGTAATCACTGGACTGCTAGCCACAGTGTTGGCAGTTTAAATCCACCAGCTAGTTTGCGGGAGAAAGGTGAGATTTTCAGATCCCATAAAGATTTACAGCTTCAGAAACCCTATACCCGATACCTGTAGGGTCGCTAGGAGTTAGAATTGACTCAGCTAAGCGAGGTTGAGCTAATATACTGAAGTAGATCGCCTGGTCTTTCTTCTTACTCGTAGTCTGGAAGCTTAGCTGAAATCTGTCTATTATGGGTCACCCTGCTGGTATTTAAAATACTGTTGGCATGGTCTCCAGAATCACAGCCACACACAAACAACAAACAAAACAAGGCACACAACAAACTGAAAACATGAACTTTGTTCATATTCAAACTATCTTACAAAATATGCTCCGAGGAACTTCATACTCTTCCGTACCCCACCCATGCTCTGTAGGGTCACCATACCATATCCATTAGCTATTACCATACCCTGTGGTTCTTTTGTACAATGCAAATACAGCCCACGTGTACAGTTTCCTTTCTAAATCTCCTTACATGAAAGGAAGCCTCCTTGTGCTGTTGTACTCATTTTAACCCGGGACCTGTGAAATCATTCCCATTTCACTTCACAGGGCTCAGTATTTTGGGCTGGATAGTAGTCCTTTGTTTGGGTACACGCTATCCTTCATTTAACCAGCCTTCTAGGAATAGGTGTTTTCTTTTCTTTCCAGGATTTGCTATCAGAAATAACGCCACAGTAAAGTAACCTTGTACATATGGCGGTTTGTTTAGATGGAGGGAACTCTTCCGTGAGAAAAGAGGAAATGCATTTGCAGTGTTCCAGATCCTGCTTAACTGTCTTCCCTTCTCACTAGCAATATGGAAATAGCTAGGATTTGTGCTGCCTACAACAGTTCCATACTTTTATAGAATCTTTTTGTAACTTTAGGGAGCTCGGAGTGGCTTAGTGGGTTGAGCATTGGGCTGCAAACTGCAAGTTTGTCAGTTCAAATCATGAACCACTCCACAGGAGAAAGATGAGGCTGTATCTACTCCTGTAAAGATTTGCAGTCTTGGAAACCCTGTATCGGGTCACTACAAGTTGGAATCGACTTGAAGGCACTGGGATGTTTCTGTTTTATTTTTGTAGCTTTAAAACACATATGTTTTGATACACACTCACATATAGCGTGTGTATGTGTTTTCTTATTGTAACAGTGTAGGGTGTTAGCTGTGAGTAACTCTACCAATGTCTTCCAAAGTCCCATCATGGCACAGTTGGGAGACAGCCTATGGTCTGGGGGTGGGGCCAGTGGTGGTTCAGTGGTAGACTTCTTGCCTTCCATGTGGGAAACCTGGGTTCCATTCCTGACTTACGCCTCTCATATGTAGGTGTACCGCCCATCTGTCATTGGAGGCTTGCGTGTTGCTATGATGCTGGACAGATTTCAGGAACACTTCCAGACTAAGACAGCTAGGAAGGAAGGGCCTCTTCTGTTGATCAGTTTCTGAAAATCCCATTGAACACAATGGTCTGATCTGCAGCCAGTCATTATATGTGTGTGCACATAATCGAAGCAGTGTTTTGTTCTACACATGGGCTCTCCACGAGGAGGCCAACTCAACTGGAGCTAGCAAAAACAGCCACATAGTCCTGAGACAACCCAGAGGGAACCCGGAGAGGTGGACAGAGTCAGTTTCTTAAGTTGATTAGTCTAGGAGAATCAAAGTTGATGTGAGTTTCAGTTCTGCCACCACAAAGAAACTTTATGAGACCCACTATGGGCCCCAGATTTTAAATCTATAAAATGGAATTCCTGTTTTTTAAAGACAACATTCCAGGGACAATGTGAATTCAAAACTAGGAAAGCACTTTGACTATTTTGGAAAGGAAAAAAAAAAGCCTTCATGAGTGCTATTTTTGTTGCTACCATTAAGAGTTTGCGGACATGATGTTGAGGTACCAGAAAGGGGTTGTTTCAGATTAGGAAGCTCTTTCAGTTATGGAGGGTGTCCTGGTGGTATAGTGGGTTAAGCATTGGGTTGCTAAAAGATAACTAGGTGGTTCAAGCCCATCAGCCACTCCACAGGGGAAAGATGACATAATCTGCTTCCTTAAAGATGTGCAGCCACAGGAACCTTGTGGATTGCTGTGAGCTGGAATTGGCTCATGTGGAGTTGGCTTTGTTTTTAAGTTAAGAGAAGACCTGCAGGCAGCTGTGGAGCCAGGTGGCATTCTTTACTTCCCAGCAGGACTTGCTTCTGTGGGGAGGAATCCTGTGGGCATACCTGGAGGAGCAGACGGGCCAGCTTGGGAGGGGCTCTCAGACCTGGCTGCAAGGGCGTGTGGAGCTTTGGTGGAGGCTGTTGTTGTTGTTATGTGCCGTGGAGTCGGTTCCGACTCGTAACGACCCTGTACAGGGTTTCCAAGGCTGTAAGTCTTTACGGGAGCAGAAAGCCTCATCTTTCTCCCGCGGAACGGCTGGTAGTTTCGAACTGCTAACCTTGCGGTTCGCAGCCCGATTCGTAACCACTACACTACCAGAGCTCCTTTGGTGGAGGCTAGGAGAGCCTATTTCTTGATCATAGTGAGCTTAACTATCAAATTCCAAGAAACTTTGCCTGTCTCTAGTTGTAATGGGAAAAAAATGTAAAGGAAGAGACATTTAAAATACACAGGGAGGGAAAAGACTGAAGACTCTGGTGAAATGAATTTTAATCTCGGGGAGAGACCTGAAATTGCTCTTCCCTGCCAAAATAAATTGATTTCTTCGGCTGTCTGAACTTCGTTTCTTCAGTCGGACAGAAGCTAACCCAGTCTAAATTAAACTCCTTTCCCATTAATAAAACTAGGTCACTTCAGGCTTTCTAAAGGGTACACATCTGTGTCTTAAAGCACATTCAGAAAACCCCAGTGCTCTCTCCCAGATTTTCATGACCCATGCACAGGGGCCTGCATAATACCTCTTTGCACTTGTGATAGATTTGGAGGGTCTGTGTGTGTGTGTGTGTGTGTGTGTGTGTCTGTGTCTGTTAGCACTGCCAGGGTGACCATACGCTTATGCTGTGCAGGACCTTATCATACACCTGCAAAACCAAACCCCAAACTAAACCCATAACCATCAAGCTGATGGGTCCATGATGCCAGTCAACCCCATGTGTTAAAGAGTACAGCTGCTCTGTAGAGTTTTCTGGGCTGTAATCTTTTAGCGTAGTGGTTACGGATCGGGCTGCAAACCGCAAGGTCAGCAGTTCGAAACTACCAGTGGTTCTGCGGAAGAAAGATGAGGCGTTCTGTTCCCGTAAAGATTTATAGCCTCGGAAACCCTGTACAGGGTTGTTATGAGTTGGAACCGACTCCACGGCACATAACAACAATAACAACAACAATCTTTCTGGAAGCAGTTCGCTGGGTGGTTTTCTGTGATGTTGTTAATTAGCTTTGAACCACTAACTTTTAGGTTTGAAAACAACTTTGAGGTTGGCAGCCAATTGCAAACAGCCTTGTGTCACTCAAGCACCAAGAAAGGATGCTCGAAAGAGGCACTGGCTGGGAGCTGACCACAGTTCATTGTCTGGTTTCACCTCTTCCCCCGTGCCATGGGGGCTTGACCTTGAACCAGATCATTCATTCCTGCTTCGCTCAGAGGAGTCCCTGTGTGGTGCAAATGATTAGCATGTATAGCTGCTAACTGAAAGGTTGAACCTTCAAGTTAATTCAAGGGTACCTTGGAAGAAAGGCCTGGCTATCTACGTTGGAAAAAAATCAGCCATTGAAAATCCAAGGTGACATAGGATCACTTTGAGTCAGAGTCAACTGAATAGCAACTGGCAACTTGTTTTATCCTGAAAAAGCTTTGTCTTCATTGACCAAGGCCTTTCCAGTTTTCTGACAGCAGATAGCTTTGAACTGTTGCATTTTGAACCTGTTATTTACATGTTGATGTTGTTTTTGTTTAGTGCTGTTGAGTCAGTTCTGGCTCATAGCGATCCCATGAGTATCGGGTTTCCAAGGAGCGAGCTTGAACCACTGACCTTGTAGTTCATAGTACCTTTGCAGTTCAGCGTATTAATCCACAGCACCACACTAGGGCTCCATGTAGGAGACAGTAAAGTGAATCATGGCAGTTGTAGTTTTGAGTGCTATAGAGTCGATTCCGATCCGTGGTGAGTGACCCTGTATAGGGTTTCCAAGGAGCAGCTGGTGAGCTTGAACCGCCAACCTTGCAGTTCAAAGTGACTTTGCAGTCCAGCGCATTAAGCTACAGTGCCACACCAGGAACTCCAGTAGGAAGCTGTCCTTTTACAAATGTGAAGGCACAAGTAAAATAATTTGAGAGAAGCTTCATCCGGATAGATCCAAGAATTTCCGTGTGGAGTTATTTCTCACTGACAAGAGGTGCATGTGCTGTGTTGGAGGTAGAGAGGAGAAAAATGTGAACTGAGCCACCTCCTCAGTGGGTGTGGATGGCCCTGAAACCCTTTGAGGGCTCTCAGTTCCTTCCCTCTGCAGTGGGACATTCTTGTCTCTCTTCTTTCTCATCCCTATACATGAGAGGGGACAGGGTGGCTGCTGAGAGAACCCCAAATGTGGAGATCTAGAAATGTTAAAGCTCTGAGAAACTGTCTTACAACAACAAAAACTGGGGAGGAATGGAAATCGTTATAGTACTGAATTCTAGCATCCTTTAAGTGTCTCACAATGTGGGTTTTAAAAGGCGTATCTTTCCTTTCGTTTATTATTGAAATGATCATGCTATGTGTGTTTAGGGATGTGAGGGGTCGGAAAAATCAATTGGGAAATCGTTTTCCTTCCTATTTTTTTTTAAAAAATGGAAGAAATAGTCCTGAGAAAAGGAGTGAATCTCTCTCTACTTCATAATGGGTGTCCCTCAGTCCAGACGTGTCACACATTTAAGTTAAATCAACTCATCCTTCCTGGTTACGCCGTGAGGTCTTTTCAACAATACAGATGCTGATTATTTAACCACTGACGAAGTTTCTCTTCCTTCTCTTTCCAGGGCACAGAAGCCAAAAAACATTGCTGGTATTTTGAAGGACTTTATCCAACATATTATACGTGAGTATTTTCCCTCGTCTGTTGGTTTGGCAGCTGTGCCATGTTGTTTGTCTGGGAGTCTTGTCTTTATATAGGACACAGGACTAGGCCATTGAGGGAGACGTCACTGACTTTGCCCACCTTCCAGCTGGTTTCAATGTGGTCTCTGCTAGTTTATGAGCAGGTGACCTCACCATCAGCCCTAATCTGCTCTGGCCAGTCAGTCTGAGGGACATATGAACTACCGTGTGCTCTGGTCAGTAGTGCAAATTAGTGCAGATGTGATGACCAGCACAAAGGACCAAGATGGTGGAGTATGGCCAAGGCTAGACTGACTCATCCGCCATGTTTCCTAGGCAAAGGGAAAAAAAATGAGGGCCTTCAGCCGGGATAAAGTTCTCGGGTCAGCTCAGCTCAGCTACTGGGGTGTTGTATGTGTGTGTGTACATATGTGTTTGTTGGTACGTGTGTTTATGCACATGAGTCCTTATGTGTAGATGTGTGTGCACATGTTTGTACATGTGTATTTCAAATTCCCCAGCTGCTCCTCAGAAACTAATGACTCAGAACCGACTTGATGACACTTACCCACAGCATGTGTATCTAAGGAGTCCTGAGGGGCAGTGGGGAAGCGCTCAGCTGGCGATTCAAACACACCCAGGGGCTCTGTAGGAGGAAAGACCAGAGTGTCTGCTCTTACAAAGACGACAGTCCAGGAAACCCTCTGTCCTTCAGGGTCACTGTGGTCAAAATTGGCTTGATGATCCATACCAACAATGACAACGTGTGGATATATGTTTTTTAAAAATTTTATTTATTTATTTATTTTTTGGATATGTGTTTATGTGTGTATGTGCGCATGTGCGTGTGTGTGCCCTTGCATCCTTGTCGTGTGGGTATAACGTCACAGCAGTCCTCCGCCTCGGGTCCCTTTTTCACTCATGGCAGGTTAGGTTTCTTCCTTTACTCTAATGAAAGCATCTCCAGCATTTTTCATCAACTGCTTTTCTGTGTTTTTAATAGTCTCTGTGGTAGACCCTCGCTACGCTAAGCCATCTGCCTAGGTGGCTAGATTCTCTCTGTGGGTTCTCAATACTTGTTATTGATTATGTTTTGAAGTTCTGTAGGTTTTGAATGCAATGCCCCTAGCAAAATTTCCCCAAAAGATCCATACTGTTAATGGAGAAGTTTGTAGAATATCAGATTATTCAGGAATGTCCAGATCACATTGTAACAGACACACTATATCTGCTAGCATGTGGGTGTTCCCAGAAGGCTTTTGGAATCTATGGGGATGGAACAGTAAACATGTAACAGTAGAAAATATAAGACAATGAGACTTATTTCTTAATTGGCCGGCATGTACGTTTTTCTTACCTTTTTAAAAAATTGTGTTTTAGGTGAAAAAGTATAGTGAAAATTATTTTTTCAGTCAGTAGTTTCTCCATGAAGTGGTCCATGACATTGGATGAATTCCCTACAGTGTGCCAGTACTATTCCCTCATTTCTGCCCTGGGTTCCCTGTTTTCTTTCATCTGAATTTTGTATCCCTTCTTACCGTCTCATCTTTGCTTTTGGGCAGATGTTTTCTTTTTGACCTCATACCTTTAATTGTTCTAAGGGACAGTCCTCTCCATGGGAATGTGTATTTTATGAGTCTGTTGCTTGGCTAAAAGTTGGTCTGTAGGAACGGCGTCAGTTTGAGGTTTGAAGTGTGTCTTAGGACCATAGTCTCAGAGGCTCCTCAAATATATGTCTGAGTAGTAAGTTTGGTAATTTTTGTGAAATTGATTTTTTTATTCTACATTCTTCTCCCACTCTATCCGGGACCCTCTGCTGTGAGTCCAGTCAGAGCAGTTGACAGTGGTAGCTGGGCACCATCTAGTTCTTCTTGTCTCTAGGTTATATTGGCTGTGGTTCATGTGGCCCATCAGTGTTTTGGATTCATTGCTTCTTTGAGCCTTTGGCCCTTCACTCTGCTTGCTCCAGATGGGAGGAGACCAATAGTTGTATCACAGATGACCATTCACAAGCTTTAAGATAACAGATACTGCTCACCAAAGTAGGATGTAACCAGTGTACAAGGAGAAAGGTTGTTTGCCTGTGAATAGGGGTGAAGGGCAGGGAAATTTCCTTGGTTCCATATTGACAAACAGAATCGCAATGCCTCATGGTGCAAGAGTCCTGGCAGAAAGCCTCCGCAGCTGTAGAAAAACAAAACCCACTTGGAAAATCACACAGCAACATAAGGACTTTGAGTCTAATTACAGAGTTGTCAGGTTGAAGAAAAATGGTTATAGGGTAGCAGGGACATAAAATATTTTGATTTCTCTTCTATAGAATGAATTTTCACCAGTAGGCATTATTTCCTTGACTCAGCTCTTTCTCAGATATGTTATCAACCATACCTCTTTTGTGTTGGATATTTCTCAAGTTGTTTCATAAATCAGCTGATGAACCTTTTTAGGGGGTGTTCTCAGAGATTGGGAGTCAGGGTTCATTGTTGTGCTTGCAGTTATTTGGTTTTTCGTTCATTTATTCAGTATTCAGTAGACATTTTTAAAGCAGTTACTCTGTTTCTTTGTTAACCTAGGTGTTGTTCTTGTCAATAGCCATCGAGTTGGCTCTGGCTCATGCAAGACCCCACGCACAACAGCACACTATGAGACCCCAGCTGATCTTGTGCCATGTTCATGACCATTGGCATGTTTGCATCCCGTTGTCTCGGCCACTGTGGATTTTGAGTACCTTCCAACCTAGAGGGCGGATGTACTAGCACTATGGCAGACAATATTCTATTGTGATCCAGAGAGTTCTGCTGATTAATTTTCAAAAGTAGATTGCTATGTCTTTATCCCTACTCTGTCTTAGTCTGAAAGCTCTGCTGAGACCTGTCCACCATGGGCAACCCTTCTGGTGTTTGAAATAGTGGTGTTTTAACTTTGAGCATCATAGCAACCTGCAAGCTACCACCTGGAAACCTGGCAGACAGATGGTGGTTGAACTGTATACAAGAGATCAAAGACAAACCCTGCTCTTCTCCTTCATGCCTTCTGGTTTGGTTTCCTCCAGTGCCTCTCTGCTCACTTCCTGTGGTGAGAAGAGTGGTCCAGAGTCCCTCAGATGTGCTACTTTGAACAATCTAAAGTAAAATCAGCCTAAACCCAATACCAGGTGTCGCTTACACAAATTAATATCATGTAACCTCACAGCTACTTAGAAAGCCCAACCACACAGTTGAGTCTTCTTGGTTCTACGTGTGATCTGTCTCCCCCCAGGTTGTTCCCACTATCTTCACCCAACTCCAGGCCTTATTTATAAAAAGGTGCTTGTATAGTTAATTGCTGTCAAGTCACTTCTGACATACAGTGGCTCCATGTGCAGAGTAGAATTGCTGCATAGGTTTTTCAAGGTTGTGACCTTTTAGAAGCAGATCCTAGGCCTATCTTCCAAGGTGCCTTTGGATGAGTTTGAACGTGTAGCTACCAGTCGAGCGTTGAACCACTTGCACCTCCCCGCCCCGGGGCTCTTCCAGGTCCTTCTTCATAAATTACTGAAATTTTCATGTCACCTGACCTGCTTACAAATATAAAGAACAAAACCCAATTTCTTCGTCGCCTCTTAAGCTGACCTCCAAGATACTTGTGGGCTTGATTTCCTTTCCTGGCTGTGAACTCAGGAGGGTAAGGACCTTGCCTTGTACATGCTGGGATTCCTGTGATGGGGTTGGTACCTCACACGCAGTGGCCCTTCCTGGGTATGGAGCAAATGGTGCATTTCCTTCCAGTTCCACTGCGCAGTTGACACGTGACTGCTCGTCAGTTCTAAGCTCTCCGCCTGGGCCTATTCCTCAGTCTGGGAAGCTCTCCACGACCATAGTCCCCCCGTCCAAATTTGGTACTCTGATACGGCACGTTGTATTCTCGGCTGACCACACTTCATACATTTGTTTGTGTGCTTCTGGCAGAGGGCTGGGGAGTGGGGGAGACATTTAACCCCAGTGCTTTGCATTACCTCAGCTCATGGTGGTAGATGTCTCTCATGCTAACAAAACCTGACCTTATCTTTTACCAGCTCTCCTCCTCTGGTTCTTATTTCTCATCCTCTGGCATCCTCTTTCCTTAAGTATAGGGTTCAGTGTCTAAAAGGTCAAGTAAAATCTGGCCAACGAGGTCCTTCCTCTTGAAAATGTGGGTATCAACAGTGACCGTCTAGGTTTGTAGCACAGTCCGTGACACGGCAGCTGTGAAATCATATGGTGTACACTGGAGCCCCGGGTACTGCAAGCAGTTAATGTACTCAGCTTCTAACTGAAAGGTTGGAGGTACAAGTCCATCCAGAAGCACCTCAGAAGAAAGATCTGGCAATCCTTCCCAAAAAATCAGCCATTGAAAACCCTATGGAGCATGGTTCTACTCTGACACACTTGGGGTCACCAGAGTCAGAATCAGCATGATGGCAAGGATTTGGGTCATGTCCATACCCAAGGTCAGCTTGCATCTCTGCTGAGCATCTCCGAAATACTGTATTTGCCTCTCTGCACCCAAAGAGGAAGCCAGTGCCACAGCACATCATGGGCACAGAGTGGTGCTGAGGAGGCGAGATGCTTCTTCCAGAAACCGGCAAACACTGAGTGACTCGCCAGTACCTAGATGGTGGTGGCTGTCGTTAAGTGCTGTTGAGTTGGTTCTGACTCACAGCGATCCTGTATAGCAGGGATGAGGAACAACTGAGCTGTGGGGTGTGTAAGGCCCGTGAAATCACTTGGTCTGGCCCTGCCAAGGCAACTGCCCTTTCAGCCATCACGTTGTTGTTGTTGTTAAGTGCCGTCGAGTCGATTCTGACCCATAGCAACCCTGTATAGGGTTTCTGAAGAGCAGCTGGTGAGCTTGAACCATAGACTTTGCAGTTCAAACAGCTTTGCAGTCTAGCGCATTAACCCACAGCACCACACCAGGACTCTAGCCAAAACATTGTTGTTGTTGTTAAGTGCTGTGGAGTAGGTTCTGACTCACAGCGAC